ATAAGCTTTCGTGGACTACAGCCCACTTCTTCGGATGCATAGTGGGCTGTAGTCCACGAAAGCTTATGCTCTAATAAATTTGTTAGTCTCTAAGGTGCCACAAGTCCTCCTGTTCTTCTTTTTGCGGATACAGACTAACACGGCTGCTACTCTGAAACAGTAAATATAGTGAATTTTGAAACTCCTCAATATAGTCTGGCTTTATAATCTAAGATACTACAAATAAGTGCCATGGCATTCATGGAGGTATTTAAAAAAATTTTTTTTTCTATATATTAGCATACACAAAAAGACCGAAGGAGTGGAACTATTCTATATGGTCGATATAGAACAGTTATTTACCCAACAATAATTGTGGTTCTTCAAGATGTAGTCAGTGTGGATCTTACTATAGGGGCAATTGCATCTCATGCACATGATATCGGATACTTTTGAATAGCAGAATCTATCAGGCCACATATGGGCCCTCTGCCTTCTCGCTCTCCTGTGCAAGAGAGGCTGCGAATTTCCCTCAGTTCTCTTATAATTCAAAGCCTGTGTCAGCTGAGAACTCCAAAAGTGGGGATGGAGGGCAGGTCACAGGATCTATGCTGACAAAACATGAAGAATCACAGTTACTATAGGGTAAGTAACCATTCTTTCTTCTTCAAGTATGTGTAAGCGTGGATCCACTGTAGGTGACTTGCAAGCAGTATCCCTTTAGGATGGTGGTAATGAGGAGTTCGAACTGAATTCTGTCAAAAAGATTGAAGGGCTGCTCTCTAGAATTTGCGGCTAAGTACAATGCATAATGTTTGACGATGTTACTCCACATCATCGCTTTGCAGATTTTAGCGTATTTTTAAAGTAGACAGAGAATGTCGCTTGAGCTGTGGTGGAGTCTGTCTTGAAGTTCAGTGGGATAAGTACACCAGCCAACTGCTAACACATGACATATTGTTTATCTACAGTACTTATATATTCTCTGTGAGATGGCCTGACCTTTAGAATGGCCATCAGAAATAAATGAGAAGCCAGTCTGAACAGTTTGGTTTGGACAGTGTAATAAAGTAAGGCTTTGGAAACATCCAGAGTATATAACTTCTCTCCAGGTATGGAGTGGGGCTTCGGGAACATGACTGTTAATCAGCTGATTCAGGTAGAATTCTGAGACCTTGGGGATGAATTTATGGTGAGGTTTCAGCATCGATTTGTTCTATGAAATGCTGTGTAAGGAGGTTCAGTCAATAGTGATTGAAGTTCACACACTCTCCTGGCCAAGTTAATGGCAACTAGAAAGATTGTCTTTGGAGTGAGATGATATAAGGAGCATTCTGAAAGGAGGTTTGAAGGGAGCCTCCATAAGCCTCAGAAGGATGATACTGCGGTCCCAGTAGGAGTAGGTGCTCTGACCGGTGGAAAAGCTTTGATACTGTCAGGTGACAGGATGACTATACAGGCGGATAGCACTCTGAGATTGCTATAAGGTGAACCTTTATGAATCTGAATAAAAGGCCAGAATGTTTTAAGTACAACAAGTATTCAAGGATCTTCAGTATCATAGTCTGCACTAGGCCCAGGCTATATTAAGCTGTCCATACAGAGAATCTCTTCCATTTCTGCTCTGTATCAGGATCTCTCGGACCTGCGGGGAACAGTTTCTGTCCGTGATTCTCACCCAACCAATATCCATGTGCCTTCAGATGCAGTGACTTTAGGTCTGGATAGTATCTGACTGTGGTGTTGTGAAATCACATCTGGGCAGTCTGAGAGCTGGATAGGCAGTTGAATGGACAACTTTAGCAGGTCAGTCAAGTAAGACTGCCATGGCCAGTCAGGAGTTATGAGGATGATCGTGGCTCTGACTCATTTCATTTTAGATATTACTCTGGGGATCAGTGGAATCAGCAGAAAGAGATATAGGAGGTCTTGATTCCATTATAGAAGAAAGGTGCCTAGTAGTTGTCTCAGGCTCATGACCCCTCTAGAACAAAAGTTCTGATACTTGGCATCCCTGGTGGCAAAACAGGCCTATCACAGGAGCCCCCCAAGGATGGAAGACTGTCTGCCAGGAAGTCCTCCAGATTGTAACTAAGTTCTGGGAAGTAAAGAGCCATTGGAGTTATCCCATGTTGGTGGCATCATGTCCAGAGCTTGATAGCTAGAAGGGTGATGCGCAAGTGCCTCCTTGCTTGTATACATAGTGCATTGTACATGTTTTGACATCAGGATCTGCACCATGGAATTTTGAAGAACAGGAAGGAATGCCATACAGATTAGCCTGATGGAAGTTTCATATCTTTTGTGGACCGGGTCCCTTGCACTTGTAGATGGTTCAGGTGGGCTGCCCAACCTGTCCCTGATGTGTCCATCATTAATGTCATTGTCAAGGAAGGGCCAGAGAATGGTATTCCTCCTTTTACAGTCTTGGATTCTCGCTATTTATCTCAGTTTTGCAATTACTTGAGGTGGCACTAAGACCTTGTTCATCTGATACCTTGCCAGATAATACATTGACCTGAACTACAGTTGTAAAAACTGCAGATGAAGTCTGGCAAATGGTGTCACATAAATGCAGGCTCACATATGGCCTAACAGCCCAACGTAAATCCATACTGTCTTAGTCAGGTTCGATTCCATCTTGAGTAATAGCAACTGCAAAACCAGGAACCTGTCCTTGATCAGGTATCCTCTGGTCGACCTGGAGTCAATTACAGCTCTTATGAACTCTATCTGTGATGAGATACGAGACCATTTTTTGCAGTTCACCAGGAGGCCTAGCTGGGTGAAAGAGGGAATATTTTAGTCACACTATCTCCTGCTGGGATGGAATAGCCATTGATGATGATGTTTGTGTCCATTTATCAGACCAAGCCTGGTAGAAAGGGGCAAGGTGGTTCCTGAAGGTGGTGACAGAGTCTGGACTGGCTCCACTGTAACTCCCAACACTTGAGTCAAACATTCTGCATCTGGAAGAGGAGAATGATGGGAGTCTCCTGAAGAACCAAAGTCTTTTTCTTGGTGGGTACCTGGACTGTGAGTCCTATGAGTAGGATGGTGTTCTTTGCCTCTGTTGGAATTGATATTTGTATGGTTTTATCACAGATTTACCAGGTTGGTGCTATGCCCCAGCCTTCAGTCTCCTGGGAGTAATCCCTTTACTGTGCCAGATCACCAGGGTCCATCCATACAGCCTCAATGACTCTGTGATTCGGCTTTTGGGCTCCAGCACCCCCAGAGAGCTCCTACAGCAAATCCACCTTCTGAGGGAGCAGTGCAACTGAGTAAGTATTGCAGTGACAGAGAGCAGCCTTTTTGAAGCGAAGTAGCATTGATTAATCAGTTGGAATACAGCATCCGAGAGTCATCAGATTAGCATTAGGTTAGGGAAAAGCCAGGTTTAAGACAGCATCCACATTGGCTGAAGCAATGGCTATGCCAAGCCATGATTCTCTGAGGTCCATCTTCACTCCCTGTCCCTGTATGTGAGTCTCTGATCGCTGAATGAACCTTAAAAGAGAGTCCCCATGATACTTCATACCTTTGTTTCCAGTTGCAGTCTTTTTACTCTGCTTCCTTCAGAGAACTGAATGGCATCCCAGAGAACTGAAGGAAGTAGCCTGCTCTTGGCTGTCCCACTCATTGTTAATGGACAAGTTCTTGGCTCTTCCATTGTCAATGTAGGGTCTTCCATTCACATGTGTGTAAATTCCAGCGAGTTCTTGTTAATCTGGTTCCAATCAGGACATTTTACATAATTCAACCCCCATCCTTATCTCCCTTGTCCCAGGAAGGAGAATAACACCCTCCACACCCATGTCCCATCCAATGGGTGGCCATACAAAGTGGGTAGGTACCCTGAGTCTTATATATGGTTCATAAAAATATTACAAAATTCCAACATTCATCACAGACTCTCAAAAGGGAGCCAGTATGTAATTCTCTAATTATCTCAGAGTGGCCCTTGAGTTTTTAAGCAAATGGTGCTCTTCATCTGTTCTGTTGCTAAAGAGTTCCATCTCTTCAAAGGGCAGTCCTCGATGGTGAACTGTACCTCCATGGGAATGCTGGCTGCTAGCATCCATGAGGACAGTATCATGGCGACAGTTGTGGGCATTAATCTCATAGCTATATTGGATGCATCCATGGCCACTCGTAATGCATTTCTGTGACCATCTGGCCATCTTTTTTTATGTCTTTTAGTTCTTCCCTATTCTCCTGTGCAATCTTGGACAAAAAGGGTGTGACTCCTTCCCAGGTGAGGAAGTTAAATTTTGTGAACGGGGCCCGACTACAAACTATCTGGAGCTGTAATGAAGCAAAGGAATAGGCCTTGCACCTGAAGAGTTCTAGTTACTTAGTATCTTTTTTCCTTTGGGGTGTCCTTTGTGGACCTGGATTTCTCTTGCACCATTGATAACACCAGAGTTCCTGGATTTGGTTAGAAATAGAAATGTCTGAAAACCTTTAGAGGCACCTGAGTATCTCTTTCCACTTGTTTGGATGTGGGAGGAAGAGTGGCCTGAGACAGAGTGCCTTCACTGGCTTGAGTATAACCCTGTTGGTTGGGAGTGGAATCCTGGCTAGGCATATGGAGTTCAGTATTGTTGGGGCTGGTGTCACTGCCTCATCTGGCAACAACGATGATTCTTTGGGAGAGGACAGAGGTTATTGCTGTTCCTCTGTCACCTCAAGCTGCTCACAGAAACTGATGTCCTGCTTCATCATGTGTGGCCTGACTAATGACACCACTTGACATCCCAGCCATGCTTAATGTTTCATTCAAAACTTGATGGATAGAGTTCTGGATTTGTCAGTAAAAACCCTGAAAGAGCCTTTGGATACACCCCCCTTCACTTTTGTTGCTCTGTTTTTATGTTCTAGGGCTTCATCTGAAACAGGTGCACAGAAGGGAGCTGGTGACCTTTTAACAACCCAATTTCCCTTTTAAAATTCCTCCATTTTTCTACACCTCTTATTTCAGGGAGGTACCAGGCAATCATTGCAGTATAGTTAGTTAAATCTAAAACAAAGAAGTATTTAACAAAATCTTCCAGTGCTGCAAGCCTACAACACGGCTACCCCTCTGACACTTGAGAGTGAGAGCTCGCTTTCTTCCTTGATGTGTGAGAGGGGGATAAGCTCTGGGACATGTGTAATGATGCTCTCCAGTAAGACCAATATGGCATGTTGTAAGGATACTGGCCAGGTCGAGGCAGGTCACCGCAGTGCCATTCATGTCTTGCTTGAGGGGAGGGTCATAACTGAGAAGCCTCTGGTATCCTCCCTTAGGGTCACTTTCTGACGTATGGGAGAGGGGGGGGTCTCTGCTTGATGTCAGCAAAATCTAGCACAGGGGTAGGCAACCTATGGCACGCATGCCGAAGGCAGCACACGAGCTGACTTTCAGTGGCACTCACACTGCCCGGGTCCTGGCCACCGGTCCAGGGGGCTCTGCATTTAATTTTAAATGAAGCTTCTTAAACATTTTAAAATCCTTATTTACTTTACATACAACAATAGTTTAGTTATATATTATAGACTTATAGAAAGAGACCTTCTAAAAACATTAAAATGTATCACTGGCACGCAAAACCTTAAATTAGAGTGAATAAATGAAGACTCGGCACACCACTTCTGAAAGGTTGCCAACCCCTGATCTAGTGGATTGGAAGTATTCTCTCTTGAAAGATGGTACCTTAGAACAGTGTAGCCTCTGAGCCAGGATATTTCAGCAAAGGACATCAGCTACTCCACTAGGATATATCTCCAGACCCCGATGGGCTTGGCCTGATGTCAGTGTCAAGTTGTCACTTGTGTGTGCCATACCAGCAACCTGTGTTGCATTTCCAGTCTTAGAAGCAGTGGATGACTTGCAGGCTTTATCTCTGGAGGACTGGTGTTTATGCTCTCCTTGCAAGATGATCCCATGTGGTGTTTGGAGCCATGCTTATGCTCTGTCCTGTCTCTCTGTTGCTTTTCAGTGCCAGGGCATAGGTATGAGAGCTATCAGTACTGAGGCTGGTGCCATCAGCACCAAGGCTGTCAGTGCCAGTATTGTTGGCATCCTCACTGATGCCTTTTTTCTCACCAGATCCCAGATCATGGTGCCTGCTTGAAGGCATGCTCAATAATGAGAATTTCTTTGGTTCTCATCTGGCAGTTATTGCTTCCTTAGGGTCAGAAATGGTCCACATGGACTGTTTTAGCAGTAGTTTTTTCTTGAAGACCTGCCCACTGAGCACCAGTCCAGGATGTGGCTTCCCCCTAATCAGAATGGTCTTCAACTATGTCCGCCAGTGAGAGGCATGAGGCTGTCACAGGGTGGGTAGGGTTTGAATCCTGACAGTTCTGAGTATGCCAGAAAGTGTGGCAGTTAGCACAAAGTGCCTCATACTGCTGTACAGAGAACTTACTGGAAAGTTTCTCCTCTCTTTTCTTTGGAAACATCAAATTTTGGGGTTTCTGAAATAGTAATAGTAGTAGTTCTTAGAAGATTTGTGAAAAAATGAATTTTGAAGTTCTGAAGAAAGTACCACTCGCTGGGTTCCGTCTCACTGCCATGGGCAGTAAGAGGGAACTGAAGGAGGGTCGCAGTTGCTCTGCCCTTTATGCCCTTTCATGGCAGCATGAGGAGGCACAGCCCCAGACACACTACTCAAAAGACTTTGATCTCACATGCATGAGGTGCATGTGCACCTACAGTGGGAGCCACACTGACACAAACTCAATGAAGAACTTTGTGAATCTGGGCTGATTTTGCTTAGAGTATTTCTTACTGTGAGAAATTTTCCATGTACTTCATAGACAATATCCTTCTGGGATTTGGACTGGATTGTGTGCCTCCAGGGTAGTGGGTTTGAGTATGGCTGAGTCTATCTAGGTTTTTTTTTTTTTTTTTTTGCCAACAGCCTATCATCTCCTGTTTCATTATACAGAAATGACTATAGCCCCTATGTCAGACACTTTACTGAAAAATGAAGCAGAAGATCTTTTTCTAAAATATAAGTATCTTCTGTAGTGGAGGAATAGTGACAGTTACAGGCAAAGTAAACTTGCTTTGTCTACAGATATTTTTATTCAAGTTTATCCAGTTATGCAAATTCTCTTTTAAAATAAAATAAAATGGACAAGTGTTCACACTATCTTGAACAACTTGAAGCTTTTACCTTTTTTAAACCCTCCCCCCGCAATTCACATACAATCACCACCACTACCCAAATTCACACACAATATGTAATTTCACAGTAAAAATAAAAATAGACAGCAAAGAAAAATATCCTGAAACCAAATTTAAATAAATTCCCCCACAACATACATGACAACTCTGCCTCTGTGAAAAACTGATATTGCACACGGGAAAAAGTTTATTTTTCATACCACTGAATACTGCTTTTTAAAAAAATGAATACTCAGCATATTGACTTTCATACGAATAACTAAAAGGGAAGAAAACGTTACTTCATCTAATATTTGTTAATAAATCTTCACTAGTCCACATTATCGGACTTCAGGTGCACTATAACTGCACATAAAGACTTCTTAAGAAGAATTTTAAACAAACAGCAGGTGGCACCATAAAACTGTGAATTAAAACAACTTCATTATTCAAAACTCAGGTGACACATTCTACAATGGATTTCATTCACATAACTTTTCCTATTACAGTGGTTAGCTATGGTTTGACAACGTAATATCTATTTTAAATAGCAACTGAAATCCCCCTCCCCCCCGAGTAACAAAGAAATAAAGGATTAAATATACACTCTACAGACGATTTCCCCCCAACGCTCCAATGTCCAGCCTTTTCTTTTTTTAAAAAACCTTCCTTTTGTTGAGCACTGGATACGACTATTTGGTGCCCAAAGACCACTCATAGGGTGGCTAGAGGATTGCGGCTGCTGCTGAGTAGTAAGTTCATTCCCTCTGCAATGTTCCCAGGAGCTACTGGCCTAGGAAGAAAGATTTGAACCTGAGTCTCGGTAGTGATGAGAAAAACCCATCTTTCTTTTTTTCCTGAATATATATCCTTTCAAGGTTTATCATGCATCCTGATTTGACTGGGTCCAGTCCCATTTTGAGCAACATCATCTACTGTGTAACCCAGGGCAGAGGAAACAAAACAAGTTTCTCTCTTAAAACTCAGGGTGTAATCCTGGCCGCACTGGGCATGCCTACAAAACATTCTAAATCCAGGATCTGACTCAGGTTTAAGCCCAAGCCCAGCTTCTGTTACACAGAATATAGTTTGACTCAGGCCAGGAACCCTCTCTGAACTCGGGCGCTGCTGGGAGGGGCGGGTCAGAGACTGAGTCCCACTGTGATACAGATCAAAGCCCAGGCATTCTATAATGTTGACACAGCTCAAGTCCGGATTGCCAGACTCGAGTAGGAAGAGTCCACTAACGCTATCCCACAATCCCTTGGGGCTGCATTTCCTAGCCCTTCCATCCTAGTTGCTTCCCAGGAACCAG